ACAGGTGTTGACCATTAGCTCAGTCTTAATCTCTGGAGGAGTTCTGGAGAAGTTATCATCTTACCCCTGGAGTGAAACTGCACAAGTTGCCTGGAGGGTAGTCCCCTGGGCTTTACAACAGTAAGACGATGGCATTGCTTATTTGAGGAGCAGTTTTGCCCTCTGTCATATGTCACCAGGTGCTTATCGGTAAATCCTGTTCCTCCAGGAGCCCAAAGTGACTGCAAAACAGGGAAAGCTCAGATCAAAGGGCATGAGATGCTGCCTCTGTGTGTGTGTGTGTGTGTGTGTGAGAGAGAGAGAGAGAGAAAGAGAATATCCACATTTTAGTTAATTTACAGGCCTAGAAAAAAGCATCTTTTTTTTTGGTCCGGTCGTGGGGCCTGAACTCTGGGCCTGGGCGCTGTCCCTCAGCTCTTCAGCTCAAGGTTAGTGCTCTGCCACTTGAGCCACAGTGCCACTTCCGGCTTTTTCCTTTTTTTTGCTTATGTGGTGCTGAGGAATGGAACCCAGGGCCTCAGGCGTGCAAGGTAAGCGCTCTACCACTGAGCCACCTTCCCAGCCCCGAAAAAAGCATCTTTATATAAATATATATATATAATTTGAATTTTTGGAAACTTTAGCTGTGCTGTCAACTTTGGAAAAAGTATCCCAGTTTACTGTGTTGAGTTGGCATTGTACAGAAATTAATAGCCATATTGGTCTAGAAATGTTAAACTTAATTTTTTTCCATTTGTACAAGGATAAACACACTGTATTAAATATGTAAGGTCTTATCTACGTGGGTTTGATTACAGAAACTAATAAAGTATTCTCTAACTAAAAAAAAAGAAAAGAAAAAAGCATCTTTTGGGTTGCCTCTTACACTGTCCCTGACTCTCAAGGAGCTGGGATTACAAATGTGCCCCAGAATTTTATAATATTGACCTTGTGTTTGGGGATCATAACTTCTTCAAGGGTAGATCCAGAAAAAAAAATTCCTCTGAAAATATGCTGGTCCTATTCTTTTTTCCCAAAGTTAGAGCTTCTGTGTACGTACCCTGTGATGAAAAACCCTTGAGATGAAAATTCCATGGGATGCTGCACTCAGGGCCTCTCACTTCCCACTGCCTCTTCCGGCTGTTGCTGGTTGGCTTCTGTGCCGAGGCCTGGCCTCAGCAGGCCCTGGCCTTTTGGTTTTAGGCAGTATACTTGGACTTCCTCCATGGAAACGAAGGAAGCTTTTCCTCCCCCACCCCATCCTCCCGATAAAGTCACATGGGTTTTGGTTCAGTTAGTGTCAGCATTTTCTTTATTGTAACTGTGTCATAATTATTGGGCCCAGCTATTTCCTTCCTTGTACTTTGGTTTGTTTTTCTCCTCCTTGAAGTTTGGAATTCCTCTTTTCAGTCAGTAAGCTCTGCCAGTGGCCATGAATATCCCTGGGAAGCCGTTCCTCTGCAGCCAGCCCTGTTCCAGCCAGAGCCAGGGTCTGGCCCCTGCTTACCCTGGACTTTCTCCACCACCCTGGGGAGCCTCAGGTGGAAGAGGGCCTTTGCTGACCTGGGTGGGTGGCTTCCTTTCTTGATTTGCTCTTTTTTATTTTTATTTTTTTTTTTATTTTTAAGGCACATCCTTGATTCTCTTCCTAGAAAAGGGCACAAGAGAAGGAAACATGCATGCCTGTAATCCTGGCTACTAGTCGAAGGCAGGAGAATGGCAAGTGTGAGGCTGGCCGGGGTAAAGTTAGGAAGGTCAGGTAGTGGGATTCGGGCCCCAGGATTGTTGAAGGGAGGGAGGGAAGGAGGGAGGGAGGAAGGGAGGAAGGGAGGGAGGGAGGGAGGGAGGGAGGAAGGAAGGAAGGAAGGAAGAAGGAAGGAAGGAAGGGGAGGGAAAAGAAAAAAGAGCAAGCAGGCAGGGCACTGGTTGCTCACACCTATAATCCTAGCTACTCAGGAGGTTAAGATCTGGATCATGGTTCAAAGACAGCCCAGGCAGGAAAGTCCATGAGACTCTTTGATTTATTTATTTATTTATTTTTAATTTAATTTTATTTGTGAACATACTGTACAGAGGGGTTACAATTACATGGGCAGGATAATGCGTACATTTCTTACCAAGCATTGCAGCCTCCTCCTTTGGTTTACCCTTCACATCCCTTCCCAGCCTCCCCTCTCTTTTTTTTGGGTCCGGTCGTGGGGCCTGAACTCTGGGCCTGGGCGCTGTCCCTCAGCTCTTCAGCTCAAGGCTAGCGCTCTACCACTTGAGCCACAGCGCCACTTCCGGTTTTTTTCTTTTTGCTTATGTGGTGCTGAGGAATCGAACCCAGGGCCTCAGACATGCAAGACAAGTGCTCTACCACTGAGCCACCTTCCTGGCCCTCCATGAGACTCTTATCTCCAATTAACCACCAGAAAACCAGATGTGGCTCAAGTGAAAGAGTACTGGCTAGCCTATTGCTGAAGAGCTGACTGACAAAAAAAAAGAAAAGAAGCAAGCAGGTCCTCGTTTTCCAGTGGTTTATTAGTGTCTCTCCTCCCTGCAGCTGTTAGCTCCATCTGGTTTTCATTTGGTGTTTTGTCTTTCTCTCCGGTGCGTGGTGGCCTACTCTGTGTCCTGTGCCCCCTGTTTGGTTCTGTGTGTCCCACCTGTACAGGCTGGCCTGGACTACAGGTGTCTAGGTTGGCTGTTACACTTGAGAATGGAGTGGCCAGTGTCAAGGCTTGGTCAGGGTCCTGAGCAGCCTCTGCATAAGGCTGGCCCCCCTGAGGATGTTGCTTGAGCAGAGCCAGCCCAGAGCTGGCCAGAGTCCAGGGCTCTCCGGTAGCCTCTCATTGACATCCCCTTCCTGGGGCAGCAGTCTCGGGTATGAGGGACCCCTGTCTGGACTACCTTGCAGACTATAGTCCCCCTTTATGCAAGAACATAGTATTCCTGACTTGAGTAATTTTAGGAGCTCCAACTGCATTGCTGGGATTGGTGCTGGAGGATGATGACCAGAGGTCCCTAATACTCTAGGGCTCCTGGACCAGTCCCCAGAGAGCAGGAACAGCAGCAATGTGGCTGCCATTGATGGCTCCAAGGGCAGTGAGGGGCTCAATTCCATTGGTTCTCATTGAGATGGAGAAGTGTGTGTGCCTGGGCAGGCCACCATGCCCGTGGGTCCCCTGGCCACGCTGAGCAGTGGTGAATGACCAGGCACTCTGCACTTAGCTAGTACAAAAGCAGCTTCTGGGCCCGGCACTACGGGCCAGTGTGGGCTTGTCCAGGCCAGACCCAGGAAGCCCATATCAGGGTTTTCCCCAATTCTCACCCAAGGGAAAATGCAGAATGTGGCTTGTTAGTGGCCATCTTTCTCCACTAAAAGAAGAAAATTTACCACTGCTGGCCTAACGTGCACACCTCCAGTCTCACCTCAGCCTTAAAGAGAGGGACAGGAATTTATTTTAGGGCAGGACTCCTTCCTTCCCTCTCTCCCAATTTTTCCCTCCCATCCCCATCTATAAATTGTATAGTTCATTTTCAGCGTAGTGCCTAGTGAGTACCACGGCTGCATTTGTTTACCTTGAGGGAGGAGAATTTAATCCATGCAACAGTGGTGGCTCTCATTGTTCTACTTGGCCTCTACTGGGACCCTGAATACAGTCCCCCAAACATGGGGCCTAGTGGAGGGGTTTGGCCAAGTCCCCCAGGTTTGGGGCTCTTCCCCTTTCCATACTGGCTTATTCTGCCTTTTGAATGGAGAGAGAGAGAGAGAGAGAGTATGTGTGTGTATGTCCATCCCCCCCCCCCCCATGTCCCTGTGCACTCTACCACTTAAGCCACAGCTCCACTTCTGGCCTTTTGTTGGTTAATTGGAGATAAGAATCTCATAGACTTTCCTGCCTGGTCTGGCTCTGAACCTCAGTCCTCAAATCTCAGCCTGCTGAGTAGCTGATATGACAGACATGAGCCATTGTTGCCTGGCTCCTGCACAGTTTTTATTAGCTTAGGCTGCCCAGGGCCACCTCGAAGGTTGTAGCATTTTTTAATGCTGGTAGTGGGACTTGAACTCAGTGCCTCACATTCTTGCTTAGCTTTTTTCTACTTAAGACTGATTTTTTTGTAGGTTAATGGAAGATAAAAAATATCTCAGATTTGCCTATTGCCTTCAAACTGTGATCCTCAGATCTCAGCCTCCTGAGCCACAAAGTTTACAGTATGAGACACCAGAGCCACTGCCAGGAAAGCTGCTATATTTTCCCCTTCTTCCTCTCACAAACTAGTTTATAAGTACGGATTAAACTTTCTGTGAAAGGAGCCTTAGTTGGGTATAAGTAGCTACCTACCAGTGCTCAACTCCTATACATTTTTTTTCAAGGCTGGTCTGTAACTGCAGTCTTCTGAGCTTAGACTGAGCCTGGCTCGACAAGATTGCTTCTGATCTGGGTCTAGTTGGTTTTCCCTGAATAGTTTCAGTAACAGACATTTTCAGAATCAAGATTTTGATGAGGTCTGATGACCAAAGCCAGTCCTAGTTCATCGGGGCAATTGGCCAAAGCTCCCCACCAGCTGAGCCAAGGGAGAGCCAGTGTCCCACTCCTGCCCTTGATTGGAAGTCCTCAGCACTGCCCAGCCCCTTTCTTGTATCTAACTATGGCTCTTCTCCACCTCAGGCCTGTTCCTGGGGTGCCATCTTGTGGACACCTTGGCACTGACCAGCAGCTCCTGTGGCTGTGGACTCAGGTCTCTGCCAGGGAGAGGCTTCAATCCCCTCAGGTTCAGCTCTTCACAGAGATCCTTGTGGGAAGCTGCATGGGTGCCAGCCGGGAGAGGCTGGGCACTGCCACCTGTGGCACTGGGGATGAGGTACCTTGGCCCTGGAGAAGGGATAAAGCTTGCTTGCTGCCCCTGGTCCTGCGCCAGGGTACACATTGTTGAGAGAAGTGAGCCCTTATTATCCAAGGGTGGTCCTGAGACCATGGCAGGCCCAAGCCCTTCTCTGCAGGGAGAACTCACGGTGTGTCCTTCCCTCTCTTCAGCGTCCCCAACTCCTGCCCTGCCAGCCCTCGAGGAGCCGGGTCCTCTGGCTACCGCTTTGTCCAGAACGTGACCTCAGACCTGCAGCTGGCTGCTGAGTTTGCTGCAAAGGCTGCCTCTGAGCAGCAGGCAGACACATCGGGCGGGGACAGCCCCAAGGTATGAGGAGCGCACTATGGTGACCCACACAGGTGGAAGAGAGGGACCCCAAGGGCAGCAGACAGAGCAGTCACCTCTCCCCACTTGCCAAACACGATGGTGACATTGCTCCCTCTTCCCCTCTCCCTGTCCCATCTCCTGCCAAGTGTGGGGTTTAATGACAGTCATCCAGTGGGGTGATACATGCTTTCTTACGTCTGATAACTGATCGGTGTGTTGAGGGGGTACGGGATTTCAGGATTAAATTATGATCAAAGCCTGACTTTTCCGCCCTCCAAGGCAAAGCAGCTAATACATGAAATGTCATGAAAGTGGCCCACCAGCGATCATGGGGGTGGGTTTAGTCTGGGAGCAGGCGGTGGGGGGTGTGGCACCTTGTCTTCTTCTCACCCGAGCACTCTGCTTCTCCCCAGGACGAGTCGAAACCACCATACTCGTATGCACAGCTCATTGTGCAGGCCATCTCCTCCGCCCAGGACCGGCAGCTAACACTAAGCGGCATCTACGCCCACATCACCAAGCATTACCCATACTACAGGACGGCCGACAAAGGCTGGCAGGTGAGGCCATGCAGTAAACAGGAAAGACATGGGGGTCCTTCCATAGAGGATGACCCACAGCACCTCTAAAATGTCAGGCTGCAGTACACGAAGCCTACAATGGGTGCCTGGTGCACTCTACTGCTTCCTGCCCGGCATTGTAAGCACCAGGCACATGGCCGACCCAGCACCGGATGGGTGTCGCCACTGTGGCCCCATGGCACCACCAGCCCTCCGTGTAGTAGGTGCATTGGTATGTGTTGTTCCCTCATTCCCTTGTGTTTTCCCATAGTTACTGTTTCCTGCTTGCTAGCTTACTCAGGATGTGTGTGTGCTGTGGGACTCAAGTCTTTGCTTTTCATTTTTCTTTTTTTGCCAGTCCTGGGGCTTGAACTCAGGGCCTGGGCACTGTCCCTGAGCTTCTTTTGCTCAAGGCTAGCACTCTACCATTTGAGCCACAGCACCACTTCTGGCTTTTTTCCCCCCTGCTTATGTGGTGCTGAGGAATCGAACCCAGGGCCTCATGCATGCAAGGCAAGCGCTCTACCACTGAGCCACCTTCCCAGCCCCTATTTCCAGATTCTTCTTTTCTCTTTCCTCCTCTCCTGGGTCCTGGGAGTCAAATCTAAACCCTCGTGCATGTTAGGTAAGCATTTGAACTCTGAGCCAAATTCCTCTTTTTTGTTGTGGGTTTTGCAGTACTGAGGATTGAACTTAGGGCGCTACCACTGGAGCCATGCTCCTAGCACTTGAGCCACACCTCTAGCTAAGTCTTTTTTTTTTTTTTATCGGTCATGGGGCTTGAACTCTGGGCCTGGGCGCTGTCCCTCAGCTCTTCAGCTCAAGGTGAGCGCTCTACCACTTGAGCTACAGCGCCACTTCCGGTTTTCTAGTGGTTTATTGGAGATAGGAGTCTCACGGTCTTTCTTGCCCGGGCTGGCTTTGAACCGCGATTCTCAGATCTCAGCCTCCTGAGTAGCTAGGATTACAGGCGTGAGCCACTGGCGCCCGGCAAGCTAAGTCTTTTCTTTGTTCCTGAAATGCTTTTAACATTATTCTGCTTTGCTCTATAAAGATGGTGATGGAGGGCTGGGGATGTGGCTCAGCGGTAGAGCAGCTGCCTTGCAAGACCCTGAGTTCAAACCCCAGTATTACAAAAAGAAAAGAAAGCAAAGCAAAATAACAGTGGTAGGTTTCACTGTGGGATCCAGGGAGGAAAGCCTGGGCTTTGCATATGAGGTGCAGTACCTGTGCAGCCACAGCGCAGAGGGCTGGTGGTTCCTGTCACCCCTGTTGCTGCAGTCGGCTGCAGGCATGAGTCAGTAGGGTCTGTGGTCTGTGCTCAGCTGGCTGTGACAGTGACTATCTCTCCCTTCCTGCAGAACTCTATTCGACACAACCTCTCTCTGAACCGCTACTTCATCAAAGTCCCACGCTCCCAGGAGGAGCCTGGGAAAGGCTCTTTTTGGCGCATAGACCCTGCCTCAGAAGCCAAGCTTGTGGAACAGGCATTCCGCAAACGGAGGCAGAGGGGTGTATCCTGCTTCCGCACCCCCTTTGGGCCTCTGTCCTCACGGTAAGCCCCTGCTGCTGTCCTGAGTGTTCAGGAAGATGAGGTCCCGAGGCTGGTCTTGGCTTGTCAGACTGCCCCTTGGCTGGGAGGCTGCCCCGGGACCAGTGCACAACTTCCAGACTATAGGCATCAGAACTTCTCTAGTGTGTACTGCCATGGCAGGGTCTCTGCCAGGGAAAAAGGGATAGAAGGCTCAGTGGATCCACTCTTTGCTGGCATGCGGAGACTCAGGGAAGCAGCAGCTGGCCCCTCTCTGGCATAGTGTAGGACCTTTGAGGGCAGATAGGAAGTGAGACTGGCATTGCCCAGAGTCTCCTCTGCTCTCTGGTGATGGGGCGGGTGTGGGCGTGCAGCGCAGTGCTGGTGGGCGCGGTCACCAGCAGGCCCAAGCCTTCATCCTCCTGGCTGATGAATGCCTGACCTTGCCTTTCCTGCTTGCTTTCTCCTGGCCATGCCCAATCCAGAGGAGCAGGCAACAATGGCTACATGCTTCTTCCTACTTTGTAATCAGAAGGATGGCTGCTGGCAGGGGCAGGAGTGGAGGGCACTCAGGAATTCCTCTGTGTTGCAGCCACCTCAGTCTATAAGAGCTGGAGGCCCAATGGAGGTCTGGCCTGGGCTCCTCTCAGAGGAGCTGGTGCCAGTGACACAGGGTTCTTGGATACAGGCAGATGCCACTGGATCTCTCATTTGCTGGGAGCACAGATAACACTGTGTCCTCTTAATGGAGCCCCCCTTCTCCCCATCCCCCCAGCTCCCCACAGTGACACAGTGTTAGAGAAGCATCTGGAATGGGAGAGTTGACAGAGGAGCCCCAGGAAGGTGGGCGGGGATGGGGGCTGGATACTGGGGTCACATCCTGTCTGAGGTTCTCCATCCATGGCACACTTAGCACCGTGGTCCCTTCTGGCTCTTTGTCCTCTGTAGGAGCGCCCCAGCTTCACCCACTCACCCTGGGCTGATGTCCCCTCGTTCCAGCGGCCTGCAGACTCCAGAGTGCCTGTCTCGAGAGGGCTCCCCCATTCCACATGACCCAGACCTAGGGTCAAAGTTAGCCTCCGTTCCTGAGTACCGCTATTCCCAGAGTGCCCCCGGTAAGGCTCGCTTTCATCCACTTCTTGAAGATGACAGAATTCATCTAGCACTTGGAGTGGGTCTGGGCCTGTCCAGGTGATGATCAAGTGACTATCTTCTCTCTCTGCTCCCTCCAGGCTCCCCTGTCAGCGCCCAGCCCGTGATTATGGCTGTACCTCCCCGACCTTCTAACTTAGTGGCCAAGCCTGTGGCCTATATGCCAGCCTCCATAGTGACCTCGCAGCAGCCCTCGGGCCACGCCATCCATGTGGTGCAGCAAGCCCCGACTGTCACCATGGTCAGGGTGGTCACCACCTCTGCCAACTCAGCCAACGGCTACATCCTTGCCAGCCAGGGCCCGGCAGGTGGTGCCCACGACGCGGCAGGCACAGCTGTGCTGGACCTGGGCAGCGAAGCAAGAGGTAACAGTGCTGCCGCCGGCCTGTCTACCAGGGTGTGGCCCAGCCGGCTAGCCTGGCACTGTGGGCCTGAGCCTCAGGTGCAGAGCCACCCTGTGGGGCAGCACTCGGCTCCGTGCGGCAGGGCCTCAGGCACACAGTGGCATGATTGGTTCCCCTCCAGGCAATGCAGAGTTAGGTTGTGCAGTCTCTCTCTCTCTCCTCTTTCCTCCCTCCTCTCCTTCTCTTCCCTCTCCTTCTCTCTCCTCCTCTCTCCATTTGAGATCGGGGTCCCACCGATCTCCCTGCCTCAGCTGGGGTGACGGGTATGGTCGCCATGCCTGCTGCACAGATCTGGAATTTAGCGTTTTCAAAGGAAGGGGGCACATACCGGGAGGAAGTCTCTGCCAAGGCCTCTAGTGCCAAGTCTTTGGGAGACATTAGGACTGAGAGTCAGCTCTGGTTCCCTAGGATAACTCTGATCTTGCGGACTTCCAGGGTGGGTATACCTAATTCCGAAACATACCTCTTGGGAGGCCTTGGGTTGACTCAGTCTCAGCTCATTTTATCTTAAAGTTGTGATGGGAACTCTGTCTCAGTGAATGAATGGCTTTAGGAGCCAATCCTCGCATTTCCAAAGAATGTTTTCTTGCCCAGAGTAAATTTAAGCCAAGCATGGTAGCTCATACCTGTAATTCCAGCTACTTGAGAGCCAGAGATTGGGAGGATTATGGTTTGTGGTCCAGTTGGGTGGAAAAGTTAGTACCCCCATCTCAGTCAGCAGGCTGGGGTACATGTCCATAATTCAACCTACCCAGGAGGCGTAGGGGAGAACCGGAATCAGGCTGGTCCCTGGCAGAAGCGACCCTATCTCCATAACATCTAAAGCAGAGAGGCTGAAGTATGGCTCAAGTGGTAGAACATCTATGGAGCAAGCTTGAGGCTCTGAGTTCAAACCCCAGTAGACAGACAGACACACAGACACACACACACACACACACACACACACACACACACACACGCTTAAAGTTCAAGGTCTATTCTAAAACCCAACGAATGGGTCTTCTTTGGCAACCTGTTTCCATGGTGTGGATCTCCTCGGAGCAGTTTTCCCCACTGCCACTCTGTCCTCACCCAGATCCTCTGCCAAGGCCACATGGAAGCTGATGGCCTCTCTGGCCCGGAGTGTTTCTCATCCACTGCTGCCCCACAGGTTTGGAAGAGAAACCCACCATTGCATTTGCCACGATCCCTGCAGCCAGTCGTGTCATCCAGACAGTAGCCAGCCAGATGACCCCAGGCGTCTCTGGGCACACGGTCACCATCCTGCAGCCAGCCACGCCAGTGACCATCGGGCAGCACCACCTCCCGGTCAGGGCCGTCACGCAGAACGGGAAGCACACTGTGCCCACGAACAGCTTAGCCGGCAACACTTACGGTGAGGCCTGGCCCATCCTCCAGCCCCACCTGGCCTAGCCACATGGCCACCCACCCCATCAGAGCACCCTTGTGCCAGGCCCTGCCAGTGATACAGGAAAGGCCCCGAGGGTACCTGTGCCCTACCTGCCGTAAGGCTGCTCCCCTCCTTGACTGATTGGGGTGAGGCCAGTGGTTAGAGAAGGTCGGCCAGCACAGGGCAGGGAGCCGGGGGTAAGGGGGAGCCAGGATGTCTCAGGTCCAGACAGAAGTAGAGGCGTGGGGGCCCAAGGCCAGGCTCCGGCCAGCTGGAGGGGTGAGCATGGGGCTTCCCCCCTGCATGGCGGGGGATAGGGGGCAGTGTGGGGGTCTGCTGAGTCCACTGAGCATTCTGTGTCAGACATGCCAGGGTTGGTCCTGCCAGACCCCCGTGTGACCTCCTCTCCCTCCACCCCCAGCCCTCACCAGTCCCCTGCAGCTCCTGGCAGCCCAGGCGAGTTCATCCACGCCGGTGGTGGTCACCCGGGTGTGCGAGGTGGGGCCCGAGGAGCCAGCTGCAGTTGTTGCCGCCACAGCGGCCAGTACCACGCCGACCCCAACCACCTCCACTGCCGCCCCCAGCTCTTCCAGCGGGGAGCCCGAGGTCAAGAGGTCCCGGGTGGAGGAGCCCAGTGGGACAGCTGCCACGCAGGCCACAGTGATGGCAGCCGCCGGCTCCCAGGGCCCCGGTACTGGGGAGTGACGCCACCCGCAGAAAGGTGGAGTGGGCCCTCACATACAAGAGCCCGCACGTGGGCCGCATGGTGGACCGAGATGAGACGCGCAGCCACTGCTGCACCCAGACGCTTTGCATTTTATCTCCTGTCCTCCCATGGTTTGAAACAAAACATAAATCCGTTCAGACAACTGATTGTATGTTCTGGGGGTTCTGTGTGCTTATTTCCCTCTTCCTCGCACCACCACCACCTCCCCCAGCCCCTGGGGCCTGGAGAAGGGCACCCGGAGAAGGTTCTAGCCCAGAGCCTCAGCAACCACCATGGCCCCCCACCTGCAAGGACGACGGCGCCCCAGCTTCAGGTCTGTGGCGGTAGCTGCCACATGGGACTGGACGAAGCACAGCGAGGTGCATGCCGAGACTGCCCCCCCACAGGACTGGCACGAACCCCTGCTTGTGGTCATTGGGAACAGCCAAGAGAAAGGCCGGACTGCCAACCTGCACACTGCTTTGTGGGGGGTCTCCTCCCCCAAAGCCACAGAAAACATCGGCATTAACTGGGGTGCAAGCATCGACTTCAGCTTTGGGCCCTGAGCACTTCTTGATACATTTAGCCCTGGAAGCGGGGCTCCTCCCACAGAATGGGGTACAGGTCCAGGTGCCTGAGATCAGCTCCTGTGAGGCCACCCTGCCGCTCCGCTCGCTAACTTGAAGAAGGATCAGCAGCTCCGCACTGGGTCCCACACCAGCCAAGCCTGAACCTAAGGGCTCAGGTGAACGTGACTCACCAGGGCAGAAGGGATGGCCTTGCAGGCCTGCCGCTCCAGCATCCTCCCCTCCATATTCCAGCTTGCCTGGATGTCAAAGCCGCCCATGGTTTGGAACTGGGACCGTCTCTCTGCCGAAGCCCAGGCTCAGGTCAGTGAGTGGAAAGGAGTCAACCTCCTCACCTTTCTGGTTGTGCTGGTCAACCCATTGTAACCCAAGAGCAGGAGACTCAGGTCTCGAGTCCATCGCCGGATGTTCATGTGCTCCCCCAATGAGATCAGAGCCCCTGTTGTGAAGTAGCTGAGTAAAAGCTGGCTCTGGTATTCTGCCAAGATGGACCGCAAGGGACAGCAGCACACTGATATGGAGTTCCCAGAAATACAACCTGAGCGGGGCACAGCGCCCCCTGCTGGGGACGTTTCCGGGGCAGCACTGGGGGCACCACAACCAGCCCCTGGCAGACAGGCCCAAGCAGGGCCCACTGTCTGCTGGTAGAGGAAACCCACCTGGACATTGAGCAGGAATCCAGCTGTACTCCGGTTCCCAGGCAGGAGGGCAGGTAGGCAGCAGGGAGCAGCCCCTGCCTCTCAACACCAAAGTCACCAGCCTTACCGGAGACCAGTGCTAAGTGTCTGAGGTGAGAAGTGGCGGCCTAGGCCTGGTGTGCGCCTGAGCTTTCCATGTGGCGTGCGTGGGAGGGGGGGTGGGGGGTGGTCAAGAGAGCAGGAATGGGCAGCTAGGTCTGAGAGTAAGTTGTTTCTGTGGGCTGAGGCCACCACAGCCAGAGCCAGCCCTGCCAGTCGAGGACAAGGTCACCTTGTCACACTGTTCCCTTCCTCAGTCACCATCTCTTCCCAGAGTGCACATAGTCTCCGAGATGGATTCCTTGTCTTGGATTGTCCCTATGTGGTGGCCCCACGCAGAACCCCGTGCCATGGCTGTGCGAGGTCTTGGCAGTTGGGCTCTATTTGTAGTGGTGGCTGCTGAATTACTCTGATCTCCATCACCACTGCCACAGCTTGGGAGAAGTGGGGAGGAGGCAGGAATGGGAGGGAGTTTGCAGCTTGATTGGGGTGACCGGGGCATGTCTTGAGGATGTTGGGTCATCCCCACTGGGCTTGTGTCAGAATCTGTCCTGGAATCAGTAGGCAGAGGCCCAGAGCAGCCAGTGCCCGGAGAGCACCATCCAGCAGAAGGTTTCTAATGAGCTGTGGGATGGCAGGCAGAGCGCAGTGGGCTCTGCCAGGGTGGCCTGGAACCCCGCAGCATGGGTGCACATCCGGTGAAGGTGGGCTGGCCCAGCCAAAGGGTCACATGGGGCTCCAAACCTTAGCGGTCTGTGGTCCAGCCGGCAGAGCTCTGAGCAGGCCCCTCTCATCCTGCTGTTGCCTGGGCACCCTCACCTGCCAGGCACCTGGTTACCTACCCTCCACTTTGGCTGTGTGTACCCCACAGACCCCACACCTGCAAGTGGAGAAAGGGCATCATGGCCAGGCAGGGAGTCACAGAAGTAATGAGTGTGAAAGTGGAGCACATCCCACGCAGGCCAGCTGGTGTGCGGCGTGCACGTGCACGGGGCTGAGGATCCCTTCTCCCCACACACCACCGTGCTCAGGCTGCGGGTGCCAGCCTGGCTTCTCAGGCACAGCTTGTGTTTCTGCCTGCTGTTGTGGCACTTTTCCTTCAGGCAGACACACCGGGGTGGTCCTGTGGAGTGAGCATGGGGCAGCTCCTTCTTTTTACCCCTAAAGAGCTCAAGGCTGATCACAGGTACCTTGCAGGTATCCCTGGGCACATGGAGGGACCCGGGCTACAATGTCACTTGAGGCTGGCGAGGGGTCCTCCTTGGTAGAGACCAGTACAAGAAGACACAGGGAACTGTGGCTGGGAGCGAGCGCTCCGCCTCAACTCACCCCTTGCCTCACCTCATTCCCCCTCACCTCACCCCCGTCCCTCCCCCGACTTGCTTGCTGTTGGGCTGCCCAAGGTTCTGCTCGGGTTGGCCAGCCCAGGCTGCTGTGCCCTCACCTTGGCTTAGGATGGCAGAGCGTTCACCCAAAGCCCAGCACCCTGGGCCGGGCCTCCTTTAGAATACCTCTGCCTAGAAGCAATATTACCTAGAGAACAACTGCAGTTGTTCCCACTGCTGCTATGAAGACAGGGCTGCTATGGATAGGCTCGGCTCAGGGCCCTCGGGGTGAGGGCTGAGCACGGGCGGTCACAGCGCTGCCCCGCCTCGTTTCCATCTGTCATTTTCACATTTGTCCCCGTCCTGTCGCTCCTGTTCCCTTTTCTAAGTCCCTTGCTCTGGGCCTTGTTCTCACAGTGGAGTTTTTAAGTGCTCAGGACACAGTTCTCACTGGGGCGCTGTGCAAGACATCAGTACCAAAAGCTGCTGTGTTGGCTCGGGAGGGTGTGGTCCCCGTGCTGGCCAGATGGGTCACCAGGGCCGCGACTATACGCTGACACACTGGGTTGTGTGCCTCATGAGGCGCCCAGGGCCTGTGGTGTGGGCAGTTAGATGAGTGTCCTGTTCAGAGCTGCTTTCCTTCCGCTCTCCTGCCTCCCTCCAGCCCCAGGCCAGTGCCGCTTGCTGAGTGACCACACATTGCCTCTGAACTGACGCTAAAACTCAGCCCATGTCAACTGATATGGTTTAGAGAAAGTATATTTCATGTTGAAAAAATAAGAGTCACTGGTTGTGTTGGGGTGCTGGTGGCTGTGGTCTGCCCAGCATGGTTTCTCTGTGGTCTTTCTGTTGGAGGGAACGTTCTAGAATCACATCCCAGGTGGTCAGGGTGCAGCAGCCAGGGCACTGCTGCCCTAGAGGCCAGGCCAGCCAGAAGTGCCACTTGGGGTCCCCTGGAAGTGGGGTATCGTGTGAGGGTGTGGAGGGCAGCTGGGAAGAGCTGCAGGGCAGGGCGGTCAGCGGTGCTGCTGTCAGTTGACAGTTTTTGTGCTTTTTAGTCTCTTTCTGGGCTGCTACGTGTGTGTAGTCCACAGGAAAGCAGGCATGCGCTTTGCTTTATTTTTAGGCATTCCCCACTCCTGGGAGAGACCTCATCCCCAGGACATGCTTCTGTACCTGCCTGGCATTCCAGCAACAGGGAAAATGCATGGGTTTCCAAGCGCATATCTGTCCTTGGGTCAGGAGCTCAGCATTGGCTGCATAGGACCCCAGGAGCCCAGATCACCCCAAACCTCTTCAGCCCAAGGTGTCTGAATATAAGAGAAAGTCAGAGGAGAATCCAAGGAGTGCTGCTTTTTATTCTTACCCTGGTTTTGGTTTCTGGAAAAATCCAACATTGCTTGGATGTGTCCTCCAGGACATGAGGCACCCAGGGGACAAGTCTGGGTAGTGTGGTGTCCCAGAGCCCGGCTCCACCAAGGGACCTTCTCCCCTCCCCACACAGAAGGCACTTGTCCAGAGTAGGCCACGACTGGCACTGTCCCCAAATTCCTGGATGTGGTCGTTTTCCTGCGTGGTCTCCCAACTGAGCCCACAGCTTCTGAGATCCTGGCTTAGCGGGATCAATAAAATGAAATCTTTGAAATTCGCCCTTCTCCCTCTTCTTCTCCAGGGAGGCATTATGGACCCCTCGAGACCTTGGCTTGGTTCCTGTTTCAGGAAAGGGTTGTAGGGAGGAAAGGAGACACCAAAAGCTGGGTTCCAGACTTTTTGCAGCTCTGCAGGAGGGGTTAAAGCCAATACTGAGATTGTTCTTCTTACCTGAATAATTTTCCTGTAAAAAATTTTTTTGGGGGGGCAGGTGATGTTTGGGAAGTATGTATGAATGTGTGTGTGTGTGTGTGTGTGTGTGTTTCATTTTTACATTGGCTGTCTAAAGTATTTTCATGATATGTTTAATTATCAATGCTTTTAAAAAGCAGTGGTATCCGTGGAATTCCGTGGGGATTCTGGTTCCAGGGCATAGGGTGTGCCCCCTATTCGTGGGTGACACTCCACCCAGGGGCAAAGTACCCCAGCTCCCGGGATCAGGAAAATCAACCAGCCCACGCGGCATGCAGCCCACCCACTTGGGTTCATTTCAAATGGGATACAGTATTTTTTTATTACGGAGCCATACATTTTTTTTTAAGTTTGAGATCTGAATGTGATTTCTAATTGTATCAGACGTTAATGTTTTAAAGCTATAACAAAGGTTTAAAATTTCTACTTTTTGTTTTTCATTTAACTGTTCTTTTATCTATTAAATTGTTGTATGTGGATGGGGAAGTTTTGTTTCTCCTTTTAGCATTTGTTTCTATAACCAGAAATAAAATTATATATTAAAGAAACAACAGCAAGGCTGTGTGGGTCCTTGTGAGTGGGTGGCTGTGGACCCCTAAGGGATGGACAGGACAGGTGAGGGGACATGACTAATTTCTCTATCTCTCTGTCTCTCTCTCTTTCTCTCACCATCCCCCTCCCTCCCACCCCATGTGTGGAGTACTCCCATGATAGACTTGGGGACCGTGGGTGGAGAGGGGTACAGAGAACCTCCAGGTATTCAGGAACTGTATGGAAATCAGCCCTGTCCAGAAAAGAGCAAAGGTTACAACAGCAGTGTAACACTCCTTGTTGAAGCTGCAGATAGCCTGGTGGGAGAGCAATCACTTGCCCAGCATGTACAAAGGCTCTGGGTTCCATCCTGAAGCACCACCAACAAAACAAACCTCTCAATTTACCTCCGGTATGTGGACATTGAGTTCGTTTAAGATTTGTGCACCTTGGAAGTGGCTCTGTGGCTCAAGTGGTAGAGCACTAGCCTTGAGCTGAAGAGCTCAGGAACAGCATCCAGGCCTCTGGAGTTCAAGCCCCATGACCAACTAAAAAAAAAAGATTTTTGCACCACACTGCATTTTACCTTACCCAGCAGGAAACATGAGCACATGTAAAGCTTCCCTTCCTGTGAATGTGCAGCTCCCCAGGCTTCTAGTTCTGCCTCACTCCTGTCTCTCTCCATCCTCGGCATCAGCTCCTCAAAACCTTGTATGGATTTCTCCTGTCTCCTGTCCCTTTCCATCCCCCCCCCAGCATCTTCTCAGTATTGTCTTCTCAAAAGCCCAACCCATATCTGTGCCCTGTGCTGCTCCAGGAACCTAAACATTGCCCAGCCTGAGTGAGGTGCAGTTTCTGCTTGCGCACCGAATCCTTTTCTGCCCCAATACCACATGGGGAGCAGCAGCCAGTGCTCATCCAGTCTGCTGCTGCCCTCTACTCCCACTCTTCCTCCTGCTCCACCATCCAGATGTCAAATCGTCAGGGCCTTTACAAGCCCCACCGAAACCAGGTTTTTAGACCTCAGGCTTCCAAGTCCCCAGAGATTCAAATAGGTCTGGCTACTCATTCCCACATGCCACATCAAGAAACAGGATCAAAGGCAGAGAAAGGAGATTTATTCCACGGCAGCCGTGGGAAGACAGCGCTTCAGAGCTTCGGTGTCCTCAGGGTACAGGGAGTTGAGGCCGGGGTGAGAAGGTATGCATAGTTAAAACCGTCCCAAATCACAGGGGTGGCCTGGTTGACTCAGTCTTTGACCTTGGAGGAGTTTCTGAGAAAGTATTATCGGAACAACTGTTAAACGTTACTTGAGAGGCAGTCTACCTTCCACACAAGATGGTCATCAGGGACTCTGGTGATGTAAAGTGGACTGTGGCAGAGTCTAGCTCCGACCACGAGG